CAAGTGGAAGCACCGGAAGGGCCCCGAAGGCACGACCGCGCTGACCATCCGGCGCCGCATGGCGCTCAGAGGTCTCCGCGACATGGACGCCGGCTCTCTGGAGACGTTCGCAGGGACTGCCCAGCGCGCCTCGCAGCGCGTCCTGTGCGCGGAGACGGCGCGCCGCCCGGACTGGGTCTACGTCGCCGTGGACGTCGAGAAGGCTTTCTTGGAAGGCATGCCGCGTGCCGAGATGCAGGAACAAGGGGAAGCACCACGCGAGGTGAACTTCACCGTGCCGCCAGGCAGTGCAGCTATCCTCAGGCAGGTGCCCTGCGACGAGTCCTTCGCCGAGAGGGCCGAGCGCTCGCGCCGCATCGAGCCGGGCGCGGGCTGCAAGGGCGCGCCCCAAGCCTTCTCCATGAATCTCGCCCCGATGACGCGCTCGCCGGCGTGCAACGCGAGGCCCGCCAGGCGGGGCCCAGAGCTCGAGGTCAAGCATGGGGCGTTTGGCAACTGCGTTGCAGGCGATTCAGGGCTCGCGCCCATGTTGTCTCGGCACGTCTACGATCTGAAGACCGCTGGACAAAAGGAGCACGTCGACAAGCTCACTGGCAACATCGAGAGCGTCTTCGGCAAGATGACAGGGGATTACGACGACTTCACTAATTGCAGTGTCCACCACCACCGCAGCCCCGACGGGGCCGCGACCAGGACGAGTAGATCGACGCCCTAACACCGATCAGGCACGTCGGCCTGGTCAGGGCGGAGGCCGGCGAGCCCGCCGGAGGTCAATTTCTTGACCTATGCGTCTCCTTGCTGGGTGCAGCCTGCTCGCCCAGTACTGCGTCACAGTGCGCATCGTGGCGCTGCAACGGGCCAAGAACAAGCTCCTTATACGACGCGTTGTGCAGCTCAATGATGTGGTCCTCGCCTCGCAGAAAATCAAGGCGCGCGTCGTGTTTCCTGCCGCGGAATGCGCTGGCCAGATCTGCGCGCACAGCGACGGGCTCTTCAAGAGGGAGGGCGAGACAGGATGCGGCATGCGAGGCGCCGTCTACATGCACCCCGCCAAGTGTCGCAGCTCCGGCAAGGAGGTTTGCCACTTACTTGCTGCCATGAGCCGATCACGCAAGTTTGTGTGTAGGTTCCTTTTCGGCTCTGAGCTGCTCGCGGCACGCGGCGCAGCTGGCGGTTTGCAGGCCCACCTCCTCGCGCTCCACGAGACGATCCTGGGCCCAGTCTCAGCCGAGGAGGCCAGGGGGCTGACGGAAGAAGGAGGTTACGCTATTCCTGCTGCCGTGGTCGTGGACGGCATGCCCGTCTTCGCGGCCGTAGCAGTGGGCCCCGTGCGGCCACTTGTGTGGTTCTCCGACCAGCTCCGCACCGCGCGGGTCACCGACATGCTCTGGTGCGATACGCGTGACATGAGGGCGGGCCGACCCCGTCACATGAAGCATCGGCCGAGAGCTGATCTTGGACGCGATGTGCGGGAAGCTCAGGTATGACCACCCTACGGTCAGACTGAGCGACGAGAGGCGCAATAACGCCGGGCCTCGTTTCCAGCACAGCGACTTGACGAGCGGCGGGGACAAGTGTTCCGGAATGAGCAGTTGGTACTTTGACTACATGTATGTCGGTTGAAGGATACTTCATCAATGGTTGCATGTAGGCGAACTGCGGTCGCGAATGCGGCATGGGGAGCGACACAGGCAACCGCATAGGCGAACTGTGCTCGCAAAGTGCGACGTGGCAGAATTGAGGAGAGACTGCCGCATAGGCGAACTATGCTCGCATATGCGACTTAGTATGTCATCCATGAGGGGCTGTCTCTGCGAACTGTGCTCGTTGGACAGCAGCTTTTGCTGTGTAGCACGCAATCATGTATTGTGCCCCTCCAGTGTTATGCTTCCCCCGCTCCTCCTGTTGATCGCAGGAGGTCCCTTTGCCTGCTTCGGCTAGTTCTACGAGGTCTTCGAGATTACCTCCACCCCTCCCACGGGCGCCGTAAAAAATCTTGGCGGTTGGCGCCGTGGGGAGGCCAATGTGCCTTCGGGGGTGGAGTGAAGCCCGATACCCACGGGATCTGCCTAAACAGGCGAACCTTTCCCCCATTGCAATTGTTTGTGGTGGAGTGAAGTCCGATACCCACGGGATTTGCCTAAACAGACGAACCTTTTCCCCATTGTAACTGTTTGTGAGGTCCCGTTGGTTGCAGCACGGTTTCCGTGCTGCAACCGACGGGGCATAGGCAGATTCGCTTGAGCACTAGACTCGAACGGTTGCCTTCTGTTGGTCAATGCCTCCGTGCCTCCTTTAACGCTCTCCCTTTCACGCTGCCGTTTCGGTCCCGGCACGTAGGTCGGCCGACCAACGTGCCCATGCTAGACGCGTTTTCGCCTTACCGTGTTCACGTCCGCTCAGGACGAAAGGTTCCCATAGTTCAGCCTCCGTTGTCATCGTCTTTTTGTTCCCCTCCCTCCCCTCCTCCTCCCTGTGGCCCCCTTCGGCCTCCCCCGCCCCCCTGATCCGCAGCCCCGGCACCCGCCCCGCTTCAGGACGGGTGGCCACCGGGCCAAGGCGCACAAGAAGGAGTCCGACACCCGTGGCTGCGGAGGGGAAGGCGTCTGCCCGGCTGCCCGCACCACCTCCCCGCGCCGGCACTTGCGGCCATCTCTGGCCTATGCGGCCAAGCTCCTCCCACAGGCGACGTCTTGATTGGAATGGCCTCCGGCCAGTGCCGCCGATCTGGTGGCGTTTCTGTTTTTATACGTTTTTCGTCTTCTCTCTGTTCCCCTCCTGGTCGCGTGTCTCCTGTTCGCATTGTGGCTTTCGTTTTCATGTTGTGCCTCTTGACTCGTCGTTTCGTCTTTCACCCCTCATCAGTGTATCATGTTATTGCTTTCTTCTTGTATCAGCTAGATGTCTTGTCTGTGGGGGGAAGAGGAGGACCTTGGGAGGAGGAAGAGGATGAGGAGGAGGAGGAGGAGGAGGGGGAGGAACAGGATGAGAAAGAGAAGGGGTGAGGAAGAGGATGAAGAAGAGGAGGAGGGAGGAGGAGGAGGAGAAGGAGGAGGGGGAAGAGGAGGAGGACGAGAACAAGGAGGAGGAGGAGGAGCAGGGGGAGGAGCAGGAGCAGGAGGAGGAACAGGAGGAGGAGGAGAAGAAGGAGGAGGAAGAGGAGGAGGAAGACGAGCAGGAGGAGGAGCAGGAGGAGGAGGTCGAGGAAGAGGAAGAGGAAGAGCAGGAGCAAGAGCAGGAGCATGAGCAGGAGCAGGAGCAGGAACAGGAGCAGGAGTAGCAGCAGGTGCAGGAGAAGCAAGAGGAGGAGAAGGAGGAGAAGGAGGAGGAGGAGGAAGAGGAGGAGGAGGGGGAGGAGAAGGAGGATGACGAGGAGGAAGTGGAGGAGGATGAGGAGGAGAAGGGGAGGATGAGGATGAGGAGGAGAAGGAGGAGGAGAAGGAAAGGGGATCAGGAGCAAGAGTAGGAGCAGCAGGAGGAGAGATAGAGAGAGGAGGAGGAGGAGGAGGAGGAGGAGGAGGAGGAGGAGGAGCAGGAGGAGGAGGAGGAGGAGGAGGAAGAGGGAGATGATGAGGAGGAGGAGAAGGAGGAAGAAGAGGAGGAGGAGTAGGAAGAGGGGGAGGAGAAGGAGAAGGAGGAGAGGAAGGAGGAGGAGGAGGAGGAGGAGGAGAAGGAGAAGAGTGAGGAGGAGGCGGAGGAGGAGGAGGAGGGTTCCCCAAACTCCCACCCCCACCCCTCAAAACCTGAATGGCGGCAGCCCTCCCCCCTCCTTCCCCCAAACCTGAATTGCGGCAGCCCCCGCCTCCCCACCCCCACCCAAACCTGAATGGGGGTATCCCCACCCCCCCCACTTCAATGGCTTGGTCCTTCAAAACCTGAATGGCGGCAGCAGCCCCCCCCCCCCTCCTCCCAATCCTGAATGGCGGCAGCCCCCCCCCCTTCTCTCCAACCCCCCTCCGTCCTTCAAGCCTAAATGGCGGCACCCCCCCTCCATTCCAAAACTGAATGGCGCCCCCCCCCCCAAACCTGAATGGTGGCAGCCTCTCATCCCCGTCCAAACCTGAATGGCCCTCTCCCTCCTCCCTCCGCAGCTGGATGGCGCCCCCCTCCCTCCAAACCTGAATGGACCCTCCCCCCTCCAAACCTGAATGGCGGCGCCCCCTCCAAACCTGAATGGGGGCAGCCCACCCACCCCTTCCCCGGCAGAGCCACCTTGGCACCCCCCAGCGCCCCCCCCCCTCCAAACCTGAATGGACCCCCCCCCCTCCAAACCTGAATGGTGGCAGCCCCCCCCCCTCCAAACCTGAATGGGGGCCCCCTTCCACTGCAGAGCCACCCCAGCACCCCCCACCCCCCCTCCAAACCTGAATGGGGGCAGCCCCCCCCAATTCCCTGGCAGAGCCACCCCGGCACCCCCCAAACTCACACGCCAGCTTATGCGGCCAAGCTCCTCCAACAGGCGACGTCTTGATTTTTCAATCCAGGGTCCCCAGAAGTCCTGACCTTTTCGTCGGGTCAGTTTTCCATCGCGAGTTGTTTTTCGACGGTCCTGGGGCCCAGCGAGGGCTCCAGGATGCCAAAAACGGTCAAAAATTGTTTGTCGCACTTTTGTTTGTAACACGGGCGTGTCAGGTAGTCCGGGCTGGCCCCAACAGGCCCCCCGAGATGTCCAGCCTGGACTATTCGAGGGGCCTGTTGGGGCCAACAGGCCCTTCGATCTCAGTTCGAGAGGCCCCCGAGTAGTCCCAGCTGGCCTCAACAGGCCCCCCGAGTAGTCCAGGGCGGCGTCAACACCCCAACCTTACGGCACGGAGGGCCACAAGGGCGCCTCCAGAGGCGGCGCCAGGGTGTCGAGACCGCCCCTGCTACTCGGGAGGCCTGTTGAGGCCAGCTGGGGAAACCCGGGGGGCCTGTCAAGGGCAGCCAGGACTACCAGGGGGGGTCTGTGCACAACCCGAAGCCGTACCATGCCTACACCACCGCCCCGCGCCGATTTCTGCAGCCATCTCGGGCTTCTGCGGCCAAGTTCCTCCCCCACACTCGTGGGCGCAAGCATATCCGTATCCACGGCCTCGCGGGCCGGGCCCCTGGGCCGCAACCCCGCGGATACAGGGCGCTTTTTCGCCGATCCCCCCTCGGGGGATGTATCCGTGCGACCGCGTATCCGCGGGATCGCACACCAGAGTCCGGACCGCGACGGCGTGGATATTGATATGTTCGCCGTTCGTGCGCAACGGAAGGTTATTCCCTGACATCACTATTTGTTCGTAGCGTCGACCGCCAGAGGTATCGACCCATTCCCCGGGACTGGCTTCTCACTCGTTTGTTGACTGTCGCGAGGCTGAGGGCCCCCTGGAGGGCGCAAACGGCGAAAAACCTCCGTCTGGAAACTCCTCAGTGCCTTGGAGGTCTGGGGGTACCTTCGCCGCTCGTGGCCCTCCTCCTCCCGCATCCAGCATGCGATACTCGCGGGCTGCGCTGCTGGGCCTCGCCTGCGCAGGCCGCCTGCTGTGCCGGCGCAGCGCGCGGGGGCTCCTGCCTTTTGCCGTGCCCGCGCGGCGTCGGGGGGTCCAGAACAGCCCTGCGCGACGGCGCTCCCCCTCCCCATGGACTCCGGGAGGGGCCAGAGAACCGGTCTTGAGCGGATTTGCCTTCATCCCCCCGATTTGACTGATTTTCTCGGGGCCCATCCAGCTCAGACCCCTTGGCCGCCTCCGAGAGGGGGGTAGGCAGGGAGGGGGAGAGGGAGTTGGAGGAGGGGTAGGTCGGAGGAGGAAGAGGGCGATGAGGAGGGAGGGTAACCAAGATCTTTGTCGGCTCTGTTGTGTGCTTTTGCCTCTGGGCGCCTCCGGACACATCCAGGGACCCCTAGGGTCTTTTGGAGTGGAGGAGGTAGGAGAGGGAGGTCTCAGGTCGCAGGTATTCGAACGATGTATCCACAGCGGTCATCGAAGACGAGAAGGCCACTGATATCAGATCGCACACAGTGAGACCGCCCAGGAAAGGTACCTGCGGGGATGCTGGGCGCATGCAGGGGATATATTAGCAGCTCCCAGCCGACAGATTCGTTGAGCGAGCGAGCTCAGGGAATACTGGAAGCACACTGAGCAGCAGAAGCAGCGTATGATTGCACAAGCATCCAACGTGTTTGATTACTGTACATCTGACACGAACAACTTCGGGTACCAGAGAGACACCAGAAACACCTTTTGGTCGACAGGCTGGGAGCCTTGCAAGCGGGACAGCAGGGAAGCGGGTGGCGGCCAAAGACAAGTGGGCAGATTGAGCAAACCAAACCTTTACAGATCAGTGCCAAGGAGTTACCGCTGCTAGCTATCCCTCGCAGCGGCAGTTATGACATGCAGGATGGAATGTATTATGGGAGATGCGTGGAATTCTGAGGGCGGGCCACGACAAGGAGGCGGGATGAGCAACACAATGTTCCGTGCCTGCTCTGCTGTACGCCTTGCAGGTATTCTTGATCTCGTCCACACGGGCCGATCTGCCTGGCGTCACGGTGCGTCCCGCATCTAGCTAGCATGCTCAAGGTACAGGGCCGGCGGGAGTTGTCAGATTCGGGCTGGAGCTGCTTGTCGGCAGGGACCTATCGAAGTCACGTACACCACGAGCAATGAGTATGAGAGCGCCGATTGCGCCCATGTGCGCCTCGCTATCGATATGGTCGGACTGGATTCCACGAGCCCGAAGGAATGCAGCTTCACGTAGATGGTCTTCGGTACCCTGTTCGAGTCGCCATTAGGACTCCTGCTCGACAAGCTGGATCGCTTTCTGTTGGCAGATAAGGGAGGGGATGCTCTCAGTCTCGCATGTTTCGAGGAAGCTGGCATCTGCACGTACCTAGGAATCCGAGAAACGTTTTCCCCATGAGAACATCCCCAGCATATGTGACGCCTGCGTTGTTCCTATACAAGAAGACTCCACGAATCGGGTTGAGGAAGTGGTTAGCGTACGCGCTTCTGGAGAACGTGGCCGTAAACTTGCATTCACGGCTAGACTCGTTGAGCTCACCATGGCCGTCGTCAACCGCAGGGCATGTTCATTGGCAGCCGCTGTATCCTGTTACCAGCCTGGATGACTCTGCGTCCTGAAGTCCTCGAGGGGGCCGTTGATCTACAGCAACGTCGAGCTGTGGTCGCTGGCCGCGACCAGGGCCATGAACAATTGGGTGCCCAGGCAGTGATCCCGTTCAAGATGATGCGTGCCCACGGAGAGACGCATCTCCAAATTCTGATGTTGTCGTACATTGAACTGGCTGAACCTGACGGTGGACTGGGCCGAGGAGAGCAGCTCGCCAGTGGGATGCGCGGAGGAACCTGTCTCCGATGTCCAGAAGAAAAGTGGATTCGTCGAGCACGTCGGCGTCGGGTCGGCCGGAGCGTTCCATGCGCACGGCCCAGGTGCCCACGATATTGCAGAGCTCTGGCGGAACGGTAATGTAGGTCCGCAGCGCGTCAACGGCGAGGCCGCAGGACTTGGCCGCTACCTCGTGCATGGTGCAGGAGCTGCGACAGTGTTTGCCGTAGTTCAGCGTAAACGGAGCAACCGAAGGATCTAGGAAGATCAGTCTCTCATGCAAAATTTCTGGTGGATCCGGCCAGGTGGCGACGTCCTCGTCGTCGTTGTTGGCCCTCTTCACCCGCTTGTGGCCCTGGTCGGCATGTCATCCATGCCGGTGCTCTCTCGGCTCATTGCAAGGTGCTCGAGATACCTTGATCGGGCGTCCACGTCCTCGTGGCTGATGTCGAGAAAGTTGTTGTTGCAAGGGATGGTGGAGGTGTTGACGACATCGCATTTGAATGTGTATGAGGCGATGATACCGCAAGTCGTAGCCGTAGAAGTCTGCCCAGAGGACGGGCTCCTTTCCTAGAAAACCGACCCTTTTGCCTGGAGAGCGAACCCTTTGCAAACAGGACAGGTGAAGGATTGGTAAGGCTTTGGGTTGCGCACAGACAGCCCCCCCGTGGGGCCTGTTGAGGCCAGCCGGGACTCCTCGGAGGGCATTTTGAGGCCAGCTGGGATTATTTGGGGTGCCTGCTGAGGCCAGCCGGCACTACCTGGAGGGGCTGTCCGTGCGCAGCCCGAGGCCTTACCAGAACAGGGCAGGTGAAGGACGGGGAGGATTTAGGAAGGGCAAGGGAGGGGGATCGCCCCCTCTTTCCATCTCTCTCCACCCCAAATGTTCTTCCCATCACACCTGTCCTACTTTACTTGAGGAGCAACAAGCGGTATGAACATAAATGTTGGGAGTTCCACGCAGATTTCTTGGATCTGCGCTGGGCCCCCTGGCGGCACCTCCGGCGCCGCACTCGGCGCGCTCCGCGCGCCAGGGAGATGGGTCCAGCGCCGATCCAAGGAACCCGCGTGGAGCTTCGAAAGTTTATGTTTATGCTGTTTTCTGGTCTGTTCTCTTCCCTTCCTCACGCCCTTCCCCCTTTACCACCCATTCGCATTCTCATCCTACCCTGCCCCCTCTCTCCGTCCCCCGCTCCCTTCCCAGGAGGTCTCTGGAGGGCCCTGGAGGTGCACGCCCAGGAGGTCTCCAGACGTCTTCTGAGGTCTCCTGAGGTCTCCGAAGGCTTCGGGGGGGGGGGCAGTAATTACATCCCCCCCACACTCTTTCCCTCTCCTTTCTCTGTCTTCCTCCCTTTCTTTCCACCCATGGAGTAGGGGCAGCATTTGCGTCGCCGCGCTTGGCTTCTTTGGCACCCCGCGACCGTCGGACTCCGCGCCGCCATGGCCAGAGGAGGCTGTCCGTGGCAGGAACGCTGCCGGACAGGAGCTTGTTTTTCTTGTTGTTGCCCTTCCTCCTGAGCGTCCTGAGGTTCCTGGGGTAATGGGGTTCTGAAGTCCTGCGGGGCTTCGGCCCTGAGGTTTCTTGACGCGTTCGGCCTCTCAAGGCCTTCACTGGGCCCAGACATTATCAAAAAACGGCTCGGGATGAAAAGCCAGTCTTGGGGGGGAGCCCCAGGGTCCATGACCCGTTTGCCTCAGGACCCTGTCCCTCTTTGCAAGTCGGCGAGAAGAAAATATGATGACAACGATTGGTTTTCGTAGTGGCGATGTTTTGACGAATTGGGGTGGGCCGAAATGGACTGAGAGGTGGGCTGAGCTGGACAGACTTTGACTGAGCTGGACAGGGCTGAGCTGCGCTACACTAAGCTAGGCTGAGCTAGGGTTTCATGGGGGGCTGATGTGTTTTGTCACGTTGCCTTGGTCTTGGTAGAATTGCGTGGCATTGCGATGCTTCGCGTTGCTCCTCATTGCAGTCGCGTTGCTTTGCGTTGCTGGTCCAGGGGGAGGCCCTTGAGGAACGGGGAGGGGCATCTTCGAGGAATTGGGGGGGGAATTATTGATGATTCGCGTACCCCTACCAGCCCAGGGGAGTTGAGGTGATCAGGGAAGTGGGGGAGCATGCAGATGAACGAAGGGGGGGGAAGCCGTCCGATACCCCAAGAGGGGGAGCATGATGGAGGAGAAGGAGGAGGAGGCGAAGGATGAGGAGGGCGAAGATGAGGAAGGAGGAAGAGACGGTGGACAAGGAGGAGGAGGAGGAGGAGGAGGAGGGGCATCTTGGCGAGCCCGGGGCCGTCTTTGAGCGTCTTGGGTGCCTCGGGCATCCTCTTGAGGCCCCTTGGATGACTCTTATGAGATTCTTGGAAGCTTCCTGGACGCCTCTTGGGGCCGTCTGGGCGCCTCTTGGGGGCATCTTGGGGCGCCCTTGGGAGCCGTAGGAACGCTCTTGGGGCCATCGTGGAGGAGATCGATCAACGAAGAGGGGTTCTCTATTTCGCCCCCCCCCACCCCCCCCCACCCCTCCCCTTGGGAGCCTCAAAAGTCGCCTCTTGGGGCGCTCTTGTAGCGCTCTTGGGCGCTCTTTGGGCCATCTTGGGGCTCTCTTGGGTCTCTCCTGGGGCCCTCTTGGGCCATCTTGAAGCCATCTTGAGGCCTCGGATGGCCATCGGATTTGGAAGGATGTTGGCTTCTTGGAGGCCTCCTTGGAGGTCTCGGAAGCGTCTTGGAGCCGTCTTCGAGCGTTCTTGGGGCCTCTTGGAGCATCTTGGGAGCCGACTCCAGGCAGCTGGAGCTATCTTCCCTCTGACACCTCGCGGGGCGCCACGTCCAGGTCCATGGGATGGGGTAGGGGGGAGGGGTAAACCCCTCCCCGAAGGGGAAGATGGAGGTTGGAAGAGGAAACTCCCTAGACCACCTACGCCCAGAAAGGCTGGTGGGATTCCAAAGGAACCAGACCTCAGGACAAGTTTGCCATTGATCGCATTATACAACATAAATGAGGACCCACTGGGCTAAGCGGCGAATCACGTCCAACAGTGTTTCTTGGCCGGGACTTACTCTGGGCTTGTGCCGGATCAGAAAACGGCCTCAGGCGGCATTGCTCTCGACACGTCCGGTTTGCAGGTCGTGCTGACTTGTTCCCAGGCCAGCTGGTTGCATTGAGTGGTAGTTGGGATGGCACGCTTCGAATGTGGGACGTTGGTCAGGGCGAGTCTTTGAGGGAAATGACGGGTCACTCGGGTGCTATCTGGCGTGTCATGGCCGATTGGGATTCTGGACGTGCTTTGAGTATGGGGGCCGACAACGTCATCAGGCTGTGGGATCTGAGTAGCGGCGAAAGCATCCAGCACATCGGTGGAGGTGATTCTCTGCAGACCGTACAGGTCAACTGGACATCTGGGCAGGCTTTGACTGCGCATGGGCGTGGTGACATGAAGCTGTGGGACCTCGCCTCCGGCAAGGTAGTCAAGCATATCTCGTCACCCGTCTCCAGCGCCACTCTTTGTATGATAGTTGACTGGCCTTCCGAGCGTGTCCTTAGTACTCTATCCGATGGTGCGCTCCAGGTCTGGGATTTGCAGCAGGGCAGAGTAATCCAGGAATGGTATGGCCACGGCGAGCCTGTGTCATGCCTGACTGCGAATTGGGAGAAGAATTATGCTATGACCGCCGCTTATGACAAAACTGTCAGGCTTTGGGACATCCTCAGTGGCAGCGAGCTTCTGACATTCAGTCCTCACACTGAGCCTGTTTTCAACATAGCAGTAGACTGGGATAACTGGAATGTTCTTACCGCTAGCGGCGACCATACTCTGATGTTATGGGCTCTCGAGGCCAACCAAAACGATGGCGCGCTGGCCGGGTCGTTTACCGTGCCAAAGTTGCCCATTTGGTTGCGGAGCCACAGCGGAGCTGTTTGGGACGCGCCCGTGCACTGGCCATCGAAGAGGGCATTGAGCGCAGGGGGAGACGGCAGGCTGAAGCTGTGGGATCTGACCCGAGGCTAGGGGGCTGTCGTTACGACCACGAGTCCGATCATCCCGCCCCCCACCCGCCCCCCTACTCCACGATGGAGGAGGAGGGCGGAATGGGGGTCGGGGGTGCTGGACCAATGGGCGCGACGAGTATCTCTATGAGGCGAGGTCATTACCGAATTCCAGGGCCACCGCCTGCCGCTCATGGGCGTGCACGTGAACTGGGACAGCCAGCGTGCCCTCAGCCTGGGTGGCGACAACGCGCTGCGGTTCTGGGACCTGGAGTCTGGCGACTCGCTTCGCGTGCTGGAGGGGCACATCGGTGCGGTGTCTTGCGCAGCAGTGAGGTGGGAGTGATGTTTCGACTTGGCTTGAGCGACTAGGCTCAAAATTGTGGGGGCGGCCGCAATTGAGACAAGGGCCAGGCCACTGCGGGTGCGAAAGCAGCATAGTGGACACGTTTGCGGGCGATACGGAGGTGGGGCGTGGGAGACGTTGCGCATTCAGGATGGTGATGAGGATGGCGAGTTTCTCTACCCTTATGTCAGTCTAGTACAGCTGGTTAGTTCGGTCACCTCAACTTACTTGTAGCTGTTGCTTGGACATCGTTCATAGCTGCGCAACATGACGAGCTTTCCCTAGTAGCATCGCGCATGTTTGTTTACGGTTGCGCTGTAGAACATGTCCGAGCATCTCACAGCACAACAAGTCGCTACCCTGATCAGTGTTTGCACTTAAGCAGGGTGTGTGCAGCTGAGGCAGGATTGCCCTGCGCCTCCGCCATTCGCCTTCGACCGGCCCTGTCCCCGTATCTGGCCCATGTGCGTGCTCTCCGCCGCCGCTGCCAATTCCTGTTGGCCCTGTACTGTCTTCTGGCACTGGTGCCTGCCTCCAGACTCCGAGGAGCTGTCTCGTTCGGCCTCGTCCCCGGGTTGTCTCGGTCTTGCTTTGCTTGCCCTCCGCCGCCGCAGACTTCCACCTTTCGGCCCCAGGTGTCACCAGCCCCCTGATGTTTCCCCCCCGCCGCCGCCTGTGTCCTTCGTTCGGCCATGTGCCCGACTGCGCCTGCCCCTGGTAGTTGTCGTCCGACGCTTTGCATATCCCCACCAGCCCATCCAGAGCCGATGCCCACAAGATCTGATCGGAAAAGGGCGGAAGAGGCACATAGAGCGAAACAGAGCAGGCAACAAGGGTGAGCTGAGAGATCTCTGGGAGCGAAGGAGTGGCCCTGGCGAGCCTCTTAGGACCATCTCTGGGACCCGCGAGGGGGGCGAGGAGGAGGAGGAGGAGGAGGAGGAGGAGGAGGAAGAGGAAGAGGAGGAAGAGGAAGATGAGGACGAGGAGGAGGGAGGAAGGAGGCATCAAACGGGGCAGCCCAGGCGCAAAGGGCAAAAAGTGAGGAGGCACGCGGAGGAGGAGGAGGGGGAGGAGGAGGAGGAGGAGGAGGAGGAGGAGGAGGAGGAGGAGGAAGAGGCGGACGATGAGGAACGGAACGGAACGGAACGGAACGAATTGCCTGAGGGGGAGCGCACAGCATTAAATGTTCGAACTAGCCAGGCTAAACAACACACACACATGTGTGGTTGACAATTACTCTGGAGGAGTCCCAACAGGGCCGACTCGAGGGACCAGAAGACTAATCCCGAGAGCGAGCAGCTGTTGCCTGTTCCCCAGACAGTGCCTGCACACAAGGGTTCTTACAGATCTCCCCAAGGAATGGGTCCGCCGAGGTTTCGCCACGCTCCCGTCCGTGGGCACCTCGTGGGCGCCCCGGGCGCTGGGTGGGTCCGCGGAGGTTTCGCCACGCTGCCGCCCGTGTGGGTTCGCCGAGGTTTCGCCACGTTGCCGCCCGTGGGCGCCTCAGGGGGAGAGCCCCGTGCGCTGGGTCCGCCAGGACATGACCACGTTGCAGCCCGTGGGCACCTCGTGGGCGCCCCGTGCGCTTGGTGCGCTTCTCATCTGGGCGTATGGAGTTTACTCTCTCTGTTGTGGGGAGGATCGGCTAGGTGCAGTGCTGCGCCTGCTTTCTTCGTCATCGAGTTCGACCCGTTTGTCTTGATAGCAGTTCAGCGGGCAGCACACGCCTTCGATGGAACGGCAGTCTACAAATAGATGGAAGTTCTTTGCATGTCTCTCCTTGTGCAAGCTTTTTGTTCACACGGCAGGAGGGGATGTAATCAATCCCATCTGCCCCAGCCCCACACAGTGACGGAGCAACCAGCCTTTCTCGGTTTGGGGTCAACGTCGTTGCCGAGCAACAGGTTCAGCCACGACAAGGGCATCCCTGGTGACAGTCAGGCGCTGAGGGCGCTCGACTCTGCGCGAGCGAGGCCTGCTTTCCTGGCAGACGCCTCGGCCGTCACGGCGCATGAGCCCGTCCGTCCTGGACGCCGTCTTCGCGCGTCTGGAGGCGTGGGTGCCCCGTGCCGTGGGTCTGCTCAGTGGGAGGATTGCATCGCTTTCTCAATTTCTACCTCATGGATCGCACTTGTCAGCTTAGCACCCACTATTGGGTATACCCTTGCAGCGGTTCGGAGGGCAGGCACGTCCATCAGTAGAGGGCCCTCAGACGGTCCGAGAGGCCCCCAAGAGGGTCCTCGCAGGGCCCCAGGAGGGCTTCAAGAGGCCCCCCCAAGTCCCCCAGAGGCCCCAAGAGGTTTTCAACAGGCCCGCCCAACGGCGTCAAACCAGGTTTGAAATCGACGACAGTGCCATCTCGAAAAGCATTCAAGCACCTTTGCCACTTTCATCATCATCCGCAGCAGCATCAGCATCAGCATCATCAGCATCAACAGCAGCATGATCACCATCACGCCAGCATCATCATGGTCATCATCTTAATCATAATCATAATCAT